ATATAAATTAGATTATAAGAATTTGAAATAAAAAAAGGGTTTAAATAATAATAACGAATTTAAATACCTAATAGAACAATCATACTCGGATTACTCTCAAATTTACACAGATGGATCTCTAGATCTTGTTGAGGAAAAAGTGGGTGTGGGTGTACACATACCCCAAACTAAATATTCCTATCATGATAGCTTCCCCAAATTTGCACAAATATGCACAGCAGAAATTGCTGTGATAAATAGAGCTTGTATTTATTGCCTGACAAATAATATAAAAAAAGCGATAATTTTTTCCGATTCTCAGGACGCCTTGGAAAAATTAACTTCTGACAAAAATTATAAAAAAAAAGATTATATCACGATCCTAACAAAGGAAATGATCATTAATTCTAACAATAATGGAACATGTATAGGATTAGCATGGATTCAAGGCAATGAAACTGCAAATTGGCTTGCGAATCTAGGGAAACATTTTGCAGTCACCAACAACATTCCACTAAATAAAAATGACATTTTGATCGCGTGCAAAAAATACCTTAATAATAAATGGCATAATTATTGGGAAAACAAATTAAAGGTAGATGGTACTCGGGGTACAGCATAGGTTCCCTAAAAAACCTTGGTTTCAATTATTTCCATACTTTAATAGAAAGCACTGTTCTACAATGATACGTATGCATACAGGTCATTGTCTCACTGAAGCACATAAATTCAAAATCGTTATCAATGATGGCCCGGAATGTGAATATGGTCAATTAAGTGATTTGTATCATACTATAATTGAATATGAAATCAACAAAATTCCCAATATTGACATATATTATTTAATTGCCCAAGCATGTAATACACCAATCCCGATTAATGTAAAATGATGATGAATTTGAGTACAGAAGGATCACAAATTCTAATGAATTTTTTAAATATCAATCAAATAAATCAATTTGATCAATCAAAGATTAATGGACTCTTTTCAAAAAAAATAATTAAATTAACAAAATAATAATTATAATTAAATAAATTAAAAAACAATACATGTGCATGGGAGCATGTGTATACAAAGGCATACATGTATGTGAATATAAAAAAAAATAATAAAAATAATAAATAAATTGAAAATAACAAATAACATTAAAAAAAACAAAAATATGTAGCACAAAAATATAAAGCCTCTCTATTCATGTCCTGGGATTCTTAGACCGAGGCAACATTTCAGGTGTGTAATGCTCCGCAGTTGCCCCAGAGCGAGAAGAGTCTTTCCCATGTTGTGCTATCTGTCTTACTAACCCCTTTCGTCGAAACAAAATCTGAAGAAAATAGAATCTCTGAGAATATGAGAATTCCCAGACATACCATACGGTATATTCTCCGAGAATGTGTTATAGAATAAAATGTGAACCTGGTCAAATACATCTAAATGTTAGGCCATCAATTAAGAAGAAGTTTTTCCTCTATAAAAAGGGTTATAATATGTCCAAAATAATATAATTGTTACATTTTAGCCATTTCAATGATATTTAATATAATCAGATTTTTGGGCTAACTAAAGATGAAAATATGCTTTGTTTGTTTATTAGCTTGTTAGTTAATTAGTCTTAGTCGTAAGTCTGTTTTGCATTTTGTTATCAGATAAGTCAAGAAAGATGATGTCAAAATAAAAATAATAAATAAGTCACATCAAACTTCATCGGAGTTATTATTTTAAAACATAGATTAATTAATTCATCCTGAACCAGAAATACAGTCCACAAACAATTTCAAGAAGTGAATCAAGAATCCAACATATGGTCCATCGACCCTGGATGAATTAATTAGTGATTATTGGTGAATTTGTGTTTTGCGTAAAAGCAGAAATCGGAGGCGGAGAACTGCACGTGGATACGCTTTATCCCGCATAGCAGTAAAGNCTCGAGCACCTCATTTTGGTGGTCTGTGGGAGGCTGGAGTGCGCTCTGTAAAATCACATTTAAAACGAACCATGGGCAATGCTTTTTTGACATTCGAAGAATTCTGCACAATTCTTGCACAGATCGAGAGTGTCCTCAATTCTCGACCCCTGTCCCCGTTATCGAGCGATCCCAATGATTTCGAGCCTCTGACCCCTGCGCATTTTTTGATTGGTCGAAGGCTGACCACTGTGCCTGACCCAGATGTAGCGCATATACCTGAAAATAGGCTCTCAATGTTTCAACGGCAGCAGTGTATCGTCCAACACTTTTGGAAGCGCTGGAGCCGTGAGTACTTGTCCGAACTTCAGGTCCGGTCCAAGTGGAAGGAGAAAGGCAGCGACGTCCTTAGGGTTGGTGCTTTAGTGATCGTGGCTGAAGACAATCTTCCCCCGTTAAAGTGGCGTATAGGTCGCATTTGCGAACTTCACCCGGGACCTGACGGTTTCGTGAGGGTTGTGTCGGTTCAGTGCGCCACCGGCAGAGTGAAGCGTGCGGTAACAAAAATATGTGTGCTACCCATAGAAAACTAAGTTAGTTTGGCATTTGGCATTGTTGACAGCCTATGCCTGTCAAGGCGGGCGGCATGTTTGTTTATTAGCTTGTTAGTTAATTAGTCTTAGTCGTAAGTCTGTTTTGCATTTTGTTATCAGATAAGTCAAGAAAGATGATGTCAAAATAAAAATAATAAATAAGTCACATCAAACTTCATCGGAGTTATTATTTTAAAACATAGATTAATTAATTCATCCTGAACCAGAAATACAGTCCACAAACAATTTCAAGGAGTGAATCAAGAATCCAACATGCTTATTTCTTTTATTATCTAAAACATAGACACAGTCTTGTTCATGCTATTGTGGTTTTGGTGTAATAAATCGACCCGATGATGATGGATTTAAAACAATAAATCATCCCAAAAATCAAATACTGCAAATATACACTTGCTTTATTTCCATATACAACTCGTTATGTGACACGTAAAGATGATTTAAATTATTCAATTTCCATTTCTCAATTATTATTTTTTACCCATAAATAAATCGCACGAGTATAATGAGTTCATTATTAGTTATTTGGCAGTCCTTGTCATGTTTATAGGTAGAAATTATGCTATGTGATTGTTCGCACAACTCTCCTCTAAAATGTGAGATGAAGAACTGAGTCGGTGGAAAGGAAAATTTGTCACCAAAAGAAAGTATGATTGCTTGAGAATTAGAACAGAAAAAGGCAAAAGGAGAAAAAAAAAGCTGTTGTAGAGAAGATTGTGGAGCCTGAATGTCCGCACACCGTTCGAGGACATTGACTAATCGACATAGGACAAAGCATGCACTGCTCTTTTTGCAAAGAACATTTATGTATTTTATATTATCTACAAACTGTAATTACAAAGTGATTCGTGTGGAAAAGTTTAAATATGATTTAGTTATGTGCATAAGTAGCATTCTACTATGATGCACTTCTGTGAAAGCAAATGTTTCTTATAAGACTTGATCGTTTAAAGCGACTGCATTTAGGAAAGTGTCATACAATTCGATATATGTAGTATTATACTGTGATACGATGTTAATGCAGCCAAAAATCTAGAAAATATACTGAAACTATTGAAATGTTAATTTTAAAATGAAAAATGATATCAAATATGTCATAATTTACCAAAATGCATAAGATTGCTAAAAGCTCTGTGATGCAAAGTATAAATATTTCATTGTTTATATGCTGCTGTATGTTTTACTTCTTGTATTGAAAGTTTATCGTACTTTATAAATAAAAAAAGATTTCAAAAAACATGCTTCATTTGAAAATTTCCCATTTTATATCATTATTCCAAATAATATTATTCATTGCAACAGAATACAATCACAAGTTGAATGTAATCCTTTTCTGATGACCAATAATTTGTATATAGAAACGTTTATTTAAATTTATCGCCACCTAATCTCATTGCTTACTTCATTGCATTGTTGCCGTTACTCCTTCGCGGTTATTATTTGGCGGACAAGTTAGAACTTTTTATGTTTGATAATTTATTTTTCTGTGAAAAGTGCGATAATCTACTTTTCTTTCTTTCATCTATTAATTAATTATTCAGGTAAATGTCTATATTTTTTTTGTCTGACCATTTGTATTTTTTCATCCATAACTCGATTTTACGGGTATGTATCATAGCATTTCCCATAAGAACCTACGTTAAATAGTTAAATTTTTGGCATTAATTAAAAACAAAAACAAATCAATAAATAATTCGAGAATAATTCACAGAATTTGATTTCACATTGCAAAAATAATATATCTCAATAATATGAAATAGGGTACATTTTTTCGTAGCACCCGATCCTCCTTAAAAACAACTAATTTTAATGCGAACAGTACTGTGAATATAAAAAAATAGCCAACAAAATATTCAGATTATTGACATTTTTATTTTATTTCATGTACACTTTGTACACCCTGTTTATTTTGCAGCTAAATATTTTGCTATTTTAATGGTATTGCTGCTGGTGCGCTAACATACACTTTTCTCAACCAAGTGCAACCTAGTATTAGTGAAAGAAAAATATCTAATATTTACTAGTATCGATAGTAGAATAATTAGTCCAAGTAGGCTTCACTTCGGATACTGGGGTAAATAATAAATGTTAGCAACAAGTGGTGTCACTCAGCTAGATTTAATTAAGTCAACTCTACTTAATTTCTGCCATTTCTATCTTCCTAAGATAAATATTATTTTAGCAATAAGTATCTTCTATCAAAACCTATTTTTGTTAAAAATAAATCTTCAAGTTCTTAAACAATAAAATATCCATATTTATTTTTTACTTGTTTTACAAATTATATTTTTATAACAAATATATTTTAATTTATTGATTTCAATATTCAAATATATATACCGTAAAACTTATTTTTCAAAATTCAGTTTTCCATCTATGTTAAATTAAAAAAAAATAAATTAAATTAAAAAAAAGATAACTGTCCGATAGGGTGATTCAAAATTTAGTACAAATAATTTAGGGGCATATTTTTGAGGTCAAAATAAGAATTTTCCTATAAGTGTGTGTCCACAACACGCTTAGTTTTTGATATACAGTGTGTCAATTTTTTATTTTTTTCGATCTTTTAGGAATAATTTCCAAATAGATGTGAATGTTTGCATAAAACTTGTGGTACGGGGTTTTTTTGGGATGCTAAATTTAAATATCTCATTGCTTTTGATGCTGCTTGTAGAGGGCGCCACCTATAAGGGTACGCTTGAATTAAATTGTTTTTAACTTTTTTGCTACCCTGTACACGTTTTGTATTAGTGTGTTTATTCCCCTATCAATTTTAAGCAAAAAAGGTATACTTGGTCGAAATCTCAGACCAACCGTTTCCAAGATGTTGGAGCTGATGAAGAGTTAAATGTACACCATATTTTCAAATTTTATAACTATATTTAGGGTGAAAAATTTTTAAATTTATTTTGGACTCACGTTTATAGGGAAAAAGATCTTATTTTGACCTCAAAAATACGTCCCTAAATTTTTTGTACTAAATTTTGAATCAGCCTGTATATTAGCAGCTTATACACAAAAATAGCTTACATTACTTAAATAGTTCTAGGAGAAAATGCAATATCCATATTACTACTGCTAGCTTCTTCATTTGCTATTGATATATTAGCCATTGTTTCACTCATTACCACGGCTTGAGCTGGTTCTTGTTCAATTCTTCTAGCTGCTATAGACTTCAAAAGGGCTTTTCCTTGTTCTTTGGTCTGTAATGTAATATAAGTTTATAGCTCATTCAACAGCTGATTATCTCAAAAATCAAAAGAGGTACATAAAAATTACTGTGCCTAAAAAATAAAGGTCTGACATTGCCCACTTTTCAAAACTGTCATTGATTAATTTCGATATACTGAAAATTGAAGTCACTTATAGGCCCTACAGCATTACATTTTAGAAAACTTACACATCTACTTTGATTTTTAAGAGTTGACTGGAGAATTTTATGAGCTACAATATAAAATGATATTTCCCATGTTTGCAAAATGAAAAAAGCAAGGAAAAAACTTAAAAAAAATTACTTTGTTTTTAACTGACAATGTTGACACAAATCAAACAATAATCATTGGTCATTTTACTAAAACATTTTCAAAAAATTATCTTACTAAAATAATTTACAATTTGTAATAAAGATATTTGAATAATCAACTAATATTAATATAAGTCTCATAAATAAATCAAACCTTAAAATGTTTAAATTTCTCAAAATCTGATAAAATAATTTTATGTATTCACTACACAAAAATTGTAATAGACTATTTTAGTGTGACGTCACATATTTAGGCAACCCGCAATAAAATGTCATAGTTGAAATTGTGCAAATCGAATCTGATCCTTGTGTACTATTTATATACACAGGGACGGAAAGTCCCCATGGTTCATCGGCCGTTACGTGAGAGCGATAAAGAGTCATAGAAATCAGTGCGATAGAGAAAGATGGCTATAATGAAGGCGTCTAATAGTCACCGCCCATTTCGCCCTTCCACAAATAAGATCCACTTCTTAGTTATGGAAGGGCGAAATGGGCGGTGACTATTAGACGCCTTCATTATAGTCATCTTTCTCTATCGCACGGATTTCTATGACTTACTTTATCGCTCTCACGTAACGGTCGATTAACCATGGGGACTTTCCGACCCTGTGTATACTATAAAAATGAATAACGTAAAATTAAATTATTTTTACAAGGATTTAGAAGTATTTAAGAACAACCAACACATGTTTCGTAAAATAGATATTCTAATGTGCTTAAAACTTACAAAAAACAATATAAAAGAATATTCCTAAATTTAAATAAAGTAAAAATTTAACGTTAGCTGTTATTCCTAATAATGCACATGCTCGTGAAGAATAGCCTCATACGCAGGTGAGATCTTGTTGATATACACTGCTCAAAATAATTAGAGGAACACTTATTTAAATCTCAATAACTTTTTTATTTGTAATACTATATAAATCTAATAATGCATATCTTAAAGACTAACATTTTGTTCGAATAAATTTACGAAAATAAAACAAATTTACATAATCACTCTACCAAAAAGGTCTATTCATTTCTCATAGTGCATCAATATGTTCAGCCTGCACAGGCGGATTTGGAACATACTGTTGTTAAAAAAAAAGACCACATACTTTCATTTGTCAGTTTTCAACTTAGGTGTTTCCTTTCATGTCATAGGTGTGCAAGTGGGAAAATGTATTATTCTTACATTTTAGTTATTCCAGAATTTTTTTAAAAATGGAATCATGTACAAATGTTACTGCTAATCTGTTAACAATCAGGGTAGCCCTAAATGAGTGAATTTAAAATGATAATGATTAATAAACAATGTTTATCACGGAATTTGAGAGCAAAACACGGATATATCCGTTAATGGTGTCATGGAAATGTACAGTTTTTACTTTATATTAAATAAATTGAAAAACTTTTATAAAAATTCTATCAGATGTAATCAAACAATGTTCATCGATACCAAAGATCTAGTATGCAAAATAATATTTAACCTCACAGGCTTTTGGTACATTAAAAAAAAATGTGCAGTTTTGTAACAAAAGTGTCTGTCGGAAATGTTTGTCATGCGTTAGAAAGCAGTGTGTAAAAAAAACAAAAAAGTAAAACGTGGCAGGGATAGGTTAAGATTGACAATGACCTTAAATGTACAATCCAAATAAACGATTTACGATGCAAAAATTGTGTATATGATTTTTATTTTAAAAATTATTTTAAATATCAAAAAAAAATTCAAACTGCAATGAACAAAATTATAGTTTGATGAAGGCAGTATATTTAGAAAAAATAATAGTGTTGACCATTGAAAACAAAAAATTATATTAATATCTCAACAAAATATAGATAAATGAAGAACATAGTCTCCAAGGTTTGGCAAGATTAAATATCAACAACAGACGAGAAACATTTTTGGAAAGATTTCCTACGATGGTGATTAATAATTACTATATACGGGGTGTCCCAGAATAACGTCATTGTATAAGTAAATATAGTATTATATTTCTTATGGCCGAATAATTGATCAAATTTTAGTTCTCAAATTCGTTACAAGGAGGAGCCATATGTATGTAAACTTGATTCTAATCCCAGCCAAATCGCTAATTATTAAATTACCTAGCCCTTTACAACAATGTAATTTACTCCTTTCCGATATCAATTGAAAAACCAACACGTTGACAGGTTCGGTCGCGTCGGTATTGAAATATTTGAAAAACTTGTTCACATATTTATTTAACCATACCCATATACAGGTCTGGTCGAACTAAACGTGGAGGTGGTAGTAATGTATACGCCCAGTTGAAGAATGCGAGCGGGAGCAAATGAAATCTAACGCAGCTGCATTGGGCCACTGGGCAATAAATCTCAGCTGTTGACAAGTGTTGACAAATTGCCCAGCAGTGCAGTGCAGCAATGCGGAATTTGGTGTGATTAAGGTAACTTTAATTTTTTATAGACACCTTCTATTAATCATTGATATTACAATTGCGAAAGGGAGAAATAATATTATTACAACATGGCATTTTGGAAACCTTTTGAAACGGAACAAAACGAAATCATCAATATAATAAAATTGTTTGAGGACATAAATATTTAAAATATGTTGATGGCCAAATGAATATATAATAGAAATTTTCTACACATTATATACAACCATTGTATAAGTAAATATAGTATTATATTCCTTATGGCCGAATAGTTGATCAAATTTTAGTTCTCGAATTCGTTACAAGGAGGAGCCATATGTATGTAAACTTGATATTTAATCGTTCACGTTCAATTTTACACTTTCGATACTGCGCCATCTTATGTTCAATAGTTAAATGATCCATTTGAAAATACAGTTTTCTTGAGATGAAATGACGGGATAACGGAATAAATTCATATCACATGACATGGATATTAGTAAAATACCAGCTACTGGCAGATACGACAAAAAAGCTTCAGTTAATGCGGTTTGAGTTTTTATCTAGGGTTTGGGAAATTATTTAAATAAGATAATATTAGTTACATCAATATGTGTGTAATTTAAGCAAGATATTTATTTTAAATTCATTAATTTCAGTATAGCAATAACAGGGCCGGGTGCAAAATAAATTGGGCAGCCGCTTCATAAATACATAAAAAACAATTATGAACGCATATGATATCATGGAGTTATATAAAAAAACAATTGAATGTTGCGTGTTAAAGATATAAACAAAATTAAATTCCTCTACTTTTTCTGGTTACAGAAATATATACATAAGAATATGTCATATGTTTGCTTAGACACATTGCATAATATTTTGTTATTGAAAAGTAAGAAAAATTTTTTAAAATTTTAATTTTAATTTTTAGGGTTTTTCATGTAACCCGTTCATTAAATTTTGACAGCTATATGTGTTCAATTTAGTCTTGAAATACTTTCAAGAGTGGGATACTTCCGGTTTCACCGGAAGTGACGTCATCTCCATTGTTTTAAATGGAATACCCCATTTTTTTATATTATTCGTCGATTCTATGAGTTATTTTGAGTAATTTTTGTCACCACGTCCATGCCTTGAAAATTTATGGTTTTCGTTTTCGAGATATTTAGATTTAAAAAAAAATGCTAGATGAAACGTCGCGAATAATATTAAATATCTCTACCATTTGTATAATTGGACATACTTCCATTATTAGTAGTATTTATTATGTATTCACCGAAAATGTGTCACATTTGACCTAGCTATGCACAAGGTCCTCAAAATTTTGCGGCCAACACGGTAATTTTCAAAGATTGAAAACTAATTTTATTCAAATGAAACAGTAACAATTTTATCAGTCAGGAACATGTAGAATTAAATTCTGCGTCGACTGATATAGAGGTTTCCTATACTTATCTTCAACTGTTTTGGAGATAATCACGATTATTTATAAAGGACGAACTTTAACGTGCGTTAATTTACTACTATAATTTTTAGGTAGGGTGTGCCACCAAAAGATATTTTCTTTTGAAAAATATATGTACGTCCCAAAAAACTCTTCGATGAACTTTATTTGCTAATAAATTACATCGTTTAGTATTTTTAACGGGTTTTTGATTTTTGTAGCATTGTATGGGTCGATTAGAGTAAACTGAAACACACACCTAAACCTAAATGGAAAACAAAAAATTAAAATAAAAAAAAAATATGTCTCAAATTTCACTTATTCAGATCATTGGATTCAGAAAATTATGAAGAATTTTGTAAGTTACTGTCATTTCCGCCGAAACCGGAAGTGACTGAAAAATCGTTAAAATGTCAAAAAGTGAAGTTTAATACGATGTCCCAAATTGCAATAATTTATCTTCAAAACTAAAAAGAAAAAGGGGTTATACCATCGTTGTGTTAGTTTCAATTATACCTAGATAGCACTTGATATTATTAGATTTATTTTTATTTTTTTTATCTATTTTAATTTTAATTATTTGTGTTTTATATCCGGTATTTTGCTGTAATCAGAAAAAGTAGAGGCATTTAAAAAACGATAAATATACAGGGTGTTCTATTAAAAAAAAAAAAAGCATTTTGTTTTATATCTCTCTGAAACGCAATATCCAACTGTTTTTCCATGTAATTCCTTAATATCACAAGAATATTTACTAAAACTTTGTTTTTTATCGTTTTGTCCTAAATAGAAAAGTAAAAAAGATAAGGGGGTTCGGATGTTATGTGAATTATCCTGTACAATCGCTACAAATTTTGGACCAAGCATTCTGAGAAATCCTGTATGTATGTGTAATAAATAAACAAGTACCAAAAATCTTTTTACTAATCAACAATTTAAAATTTAAAATTTTTTCTATTTTTGTGAGAATTAATAATTTGAAAATAATTTATGAATTTTTACTTTATTTTTACATTTAAATCGTAATTAAATAGCAAACAAAATATTGAAAAAACAAATTTACTTTGCCTTAATATGTAAAAAAAATTAAACTTTTTAAATGAGCCATAGTTTCATTTATTTATTTAATAATAGTAAAATAATTCCGAAATTGAAATTTTAATTAATATTTCGTTTAACAACAATTTTTGTTACATTTTTGTAAATTAAATAAAATTAAGTATAAAAGATACATTTTTTCTAGGGTTCAGGGCTATTCTACGAATTCGTAAATATGCCAATTGTTATATTTTCGACGAGCTACCCCAGTTTAAAAAAAATAAGTTTCTACGATGAATAGAAGCCGAGATATTGCAAAATTTACAGCGCGCACTTATTTGAACTTTGCATTTAACTTTTCTCGCCCGCGGGATCGCTTGGACGAGCTTCCCCCACCACTACGCCGCCGGCCGCCGGACAGTTTACTTAGCGAGTCGTGAGTCGTTAATTTTCCACATTTTTCAATGCAATTCACGGGAAATCATAGTTTACGTCGTAAACTTTATTTTGCGAAATATTCAAGTTTTAATATTTATAAACGATTGCGCTACGATTTAAAAAAAAATCTTATCTTGGCTCCTGTCGGTCGTAGGGGGTACTTTTTTTATTTTAAAACTGTATTTTTTTGCCAGCTATCCATTGCATCTATTTTCGGTGAAATAGCATAAATAGCAACAATGGTATTCAAATTGTTTATAAGCGAAAAACGCACGGTTTCTTAATGCACAATTTGAGAATGTTAATGTCAAAAAAACCGTGATATTTTTTAATAGGTCGCTTAATTGCGTCTTTAAGATTACAATGACGCTTTCAGAATCATGTTTGATTGAAAATTAACGTTTGTACAGAGGCTTAAAGTTCATAACTTTTGGAGCCTCCGCTATAAACAAATAGAATTGTGCGAAAACTATTGCACCTACAGCGCCCACTTTTGGCACACTTTTATAGTATGACAAAACCCTCAAATTGTCATAGGTTTTATAAAATTTTAACAACAAATCCGATAGTTATTGATGCTTTTCCCTGCAAAGTGAAAAAACTGTTTTCCTCACTTATTTGTTTAAATAAAAAAGTTAGCTAAAGAAAGTGATTCACGAGACGAGAGATGTCTTGTATTATGTTCCTTTAGACAATTTTACAATAATCTCGCGGATAAGACTTTTTTCGAGTTTCTCTTTTATTTTCGCTAATTTTCCTGGTGTAGTAGATCTGCCACCGTGTATAGTGTATACAATATGATGTTATGATGCCCATCGAGATGCGTATTTTAAACGGAGCGAATATACCCCCCGGCGACGACACATGCGACCCTTTTATAGAATGATACATTAATTCCCCAACCATCTGGAATGGTCAATTACAAAATTTTTTGGTAGACCTAATATGTTTTATTTCAATAAATATAAATAAAAATAAATTTGTCAAAATTACATTTTTTTATTTTTTCGCATAAGTATAGGTATCTCTTATATTTCCAGAACTAATTTAGATAGAGACATCATTCCGATGGAAATCGATGTAATATTACATTGGGAAATTTTGCTTTAAATTTCCCACATTTATAATATTGACATATATTTCCTGCCATTATTAATTTATTTTAAATACCTATGTATACAGTAAACAGAACACCGATTCAGCACCAGTTTTTTATGCATTATATAGTGGCGATTTTTTTTTATTCCAGTCTTACCTAGAGCCATCTAGGTATCTAGCCTTCAACGAATTACTATACCCCTTGTATAATAACAGTATAGTAGAGACCGCCTAGACCTACAGTTAGTTATTTAGCACAAATTTATACACTATATTTACTTATAAAATGATAACGTGTACAACGGAAGACCACAGATTCGTGAACTCAAAACAGGCAGATTTAGGTCAATTCACCTATATCCAAAGTCGCTTCGTTTGACCGCTAGATGGCCTCAAAGTTCATGAAAATATTTTGAATTTTGTAAATAACTCGAATACATATTATTCGATTTTGATTATTTTTAGGGTGTGGAGTCTTGCTTTCAATCTACACATTTTGGTTTTATATAGTGTTATTTGAAACTTACAACTCCTAGTAAATTGATGTATGGTGATAATATGCGTTCATAACTTTTCTTCTTTCGGGCAATAATGACCATTTTTTTTTATTTCATAGGTGATACCATTTGGAAGTTTTTGGGCCTCTTGTAGAATTTTGATTAAATGAGCGGTTTGGGTACAAAAAATATTTTTTAAATATCTACATTATCTTACCACCCATATTACAATACTTAACAAGGTGATAGTGGTACCACCAATTTCTAGTCCTGCTAAACGATTATCTTGAGACATTTCAGTAATCAATATTGCCACACTTTAATCAATAATTACATAGTGTAATTTTAAGACCTATAATAATATTACCTCCTCACATTCCATGCATTTGTAGGCATATGTATAAGCATCATCTAGTTCACCCTTTTTTAAATGGTAATTTGCTAAATATTGCAATGCACTGTAAAATTCAGCTTGATCTTCAAAACATTTTATATCTCTATCTTCTTCCCTTAAACAAAATTCTGTAAACGCAGCAGCTGCATTTTCAGTTTCATTCAACTTGTCATATAACCTAAAAAAAATGTAAATTCAGCTTATGTACTTTGAGCAGCATTGTCGTCTTATTTCAGAAAGCATGGTTCGATTTTCAATTTTTTTTTTAACATGTACTCAATAAAACTTACTCTGTTCAAAAAATTTTACCAAAAATCAGAAAATAACATTAGGCATTTTAGTATCAAAAAGTTGATAAAAATTGAAAGTTCTTCGTATCAACTTAAAAATTGTAATTTTTACAATTTTTACTATGATAAATAATAAATAATTTTGGACTAATTTTGGTGCAAATTATAGAAGAGCATGATCACCACCAGATGTTACTGATAGATACCGGGAGACGGTCCTCACACTAATCGGAGCCACAAGACGGGTGAAGCAGTCTGAGTGGGTGCTTTGTGATACTTTATGGACTAGAAAATAATAGCTACCTATACATTGAAATATTTGAAAGTAAATATGTATCTCGAAAGTGGAAAAATATCAAAAGTAGATGAAAGTCCCCTACTATTTTGGGAGAATTTCAGAATTGTTACTCGTTTTTACAATGTACCGGAAAAGAAAATATCTCTTTGTCTTATTTGTCTTAACAAAAAATTGTAAAAATGACAATTTTTAAGTTGTTACTACAATATTTTTGAAATTATTGAGAAACTTGAGTCTATGGTCATATTTAGTCTCTAATATCTGTAGCTTTCAGATTTCCCATGACTCATATATTCCATATTTGTTTATATATTTATAAAAAAAATTTATTATGCTGTAACGCTGGTTCAAAGTTACAGTGGTGAATTTTTTGATCCTATATACAGAAATTAAATTTTGTTCTTAAAAAATACTACTACTAATATTTTATCAATTTTGTTTGTTTTTGGGTACAGTGGAAATAAAAATTACGTATAGTAAGGTAGATTTTATGGAATGCCAAAGTTGAAAAAATAGAATATCAAATCATATGTTCTGAAGTACGAAGATGGTGGAACACTGTACAGTGTTTTAAATTCGACAAAACTTTTAGAGAATTTCAGGATCCAGTAAAGTTAAAAAAATTGATGACACTTCTCAGGATTGATTTTCAATCGAGTTCAACTGTCAAATATTTGACATCCTCAATCCTCATGTGTTTTCGAGTTATAGGTCTCATTTTCGACTACATGGGTGCTAGACAATCAATTTTTCAACTGTGCAAAATGGGGTCATAAGTACAATATATTTTTATTATTATACAGGGTGTTGCATCACGAGAGGGACATGGCTTAATGGGAGATAGAGGACATCTAGTGTAACTAGGATCGCCTATAGAAATAACTTCTTGGCCATTCTTTATTGAGATACAGGGTGATTTATGATTTTTGGTCAAAACTGCTTTATGTCATAACTTTGGTAGGGAATGGAATAATGGGTTCATATTTGGTAGGGTTAATGCACTCACGATACTTCATGTATGCATGTATGACAGCAAAAAAATCCAGGTCCGGACTGCAAAAATTGTAAATTTTTTGTGCAAGTCTAGAAAACAACACTCTGTATGTATTTTTTT